ACTTCAAATTGAGCTTGCACATGAGTAATCAATGGTGTGTTCCACAGTCAGCACCTCACTTTGATTTTGACCGCTCATATTAAGCATCTGTAGAGATTCCCACAGATGAAGTCAATCTGATTCTTGTGCAGTCCATCAGCATAATCACCGTCTGTGTTTCCTAACCAAGGCATTTGCTATGAATAAATCAACGAATGTATAAATCATTCGCTCTTCAGCTCGTTTCCATGCTCATGTCCACAATTTCCAACTACCATTCCTTCTATTTTGTTTCCAATTTTTGCACTCTAGTCAACAATTATTATTAATGCATCTTCAATACATCTTTAGTCAATTTTATGGGGGAAAAGTTGGTATAATACCTCAGTTCTACCAACTATCCTCTTTGTTAATGACTATTCCAGCTATTAACCTAGCTAATGACTATAAGAATATATTTGGAAACTGTAAGAATGAATCACGAATGATTCTATAAACTATAACAATTATTTTATAAATTATAAGAATTATTCTATAAGAATAGTACACACAGACACACACATACATATACATATGCATATACACTCACAGAGTAAAACTAGTGAAAGCTAGAATTTGTGTATGGCTGTAACCTATTGAGGAGGGAAAACTCAAATGTAATTGACTCTATAGAGACCAATGAAAACAAGTACCTCATTCTGTCAAAAGTGCAAACTGGTCAGACCAGGAAAAATGAGGCAGCCCTCCCAAGTTCCAGCTGTTAAAGGTTTTAAAATATAACATTTAAGCAATTGAACCACAAAATGACAATGAACCCAAGCTTACAAAGGGGCCAAGGACTCAAAGATATTTCACAGTAGACAATATTACAAATGGGCACCAAATAGATAAAAACATACTCAATGTTGTTAGCCATGAAAGAAATAGAAATCAAAATCACAATGAGATGCCATTTCACTCCCATTGAGTAGCTAAAGCAAACAAAAACCCAGGAATACAGGAAGCGGAGAGAGTGGAAGGAATCCTTATCCTTTGCTGGTGAGAATGAAAAACAATGTAACTTTTTTAGAAAACAGTACGTTAGCTCTTTGAAAAAAAAAAAAGAGAGATTTACTCTATGAACCAGGATTTTGCTTCTAGATATATACCCCAAAGAGAATCAAATAGATAATTCGAGGACTATTTGCAATAGAGAAACCCAGAAACAATCTTAATGTCCTTAAACAAATAGATAAAAAAAAATACTGAACACAACAAACTATTGCATACATATAAGGAAATACTACTCTTTAAGTGAAAGAAATAATATCTCAACACATGGTGCATACAATATGAATGGAAGCTGAAGGCATTATATAGAGTGATACAGTAAGTCAATCATAGAAGTAGAAAGATTACGTGATGTTTACTTAACATTTTAAAAACCCCACAACATTTCTTAGTGGTTATTTGGGGTAGGAGAGAGGGAGATAGGATTCATTACTATATTAAGTAATATGCTACTTACATTACTATATTAGTAATATAGCATTATTGGGGAAGTACAATAATCCATCTTAGCAGCACTAAGTTTCAGTTTACAGAAAAACTCACAATGATTAAGGGTGGAATTGCAAAGACAATTAATATGAGCATCTTCAAGAAATTGTACATTTATATAAAGGTACATAAGTACCTTTCTGGGAGGATATCAAGAGTATCATCCAGGAAGAGTGCAAATGGTCATTGCAGAGACAGAAGAGGAAGAAAGGATCAAAAGGGATGTCAGAAGAAACTCTGAAAATTGCACTGGAGCGCAGAGAAGCCAAAACACAAGGAAGAACTCAAGATACTAAAGAGCTGAATAGAAGATTTCAAAAGGCAGCAAGGGATGACAAAGAAAATATTACAAGGAAATGTGCAAGAAGTTGGAGTCAGAAAATCAAAAGGGCCAAACTCGCTCAGCATATCTTAAGCTCAAGGAACTGAAGA